CATCCAGTCCCTCTACACTTGTATCCCCCATGCGGGTGGCCTAAAAGCCCTCCGCTTCTTCCTCTTCTGCAGGCCTGACCAGTGGCCCTCTACCGGCACCTTCATCTGCTTAAATGAACATACCCATACCCTTAACTTCTCCATCAACTCCTCCCACTTCCTACAGACTAAGGAAGTGGCAATGGGAACCCACATGGGCCCAAGTGATGCCTGCCTCTTCGTAGGATATATGGAACAGTCCCTCTTCTGCAGCTACACTGGCACCATCTCCCACCTCTTCCTCCACTGCATTCACTGACTGTATCGGTGCTGCCTTGTGCTCCCAATGTTGATCAACTTTACGAACACCTTTCACCCCAACCTGAAATTCACCTGGACCATCTCCGATACCTCCCTCTCCTTCCTGGACCTCTGTTTCAATCTCTGATGACCGCTTCATAACTAAAATCTATTTCTTGGCCACTGACTCCCACAGCTACCTAGACTACACCTCCTCTCCCTCACCTTCCTTCAAGAATGCGATCCCCTACTCCCAATTCCTCCACCTCCGCACCCAAACATCCCAGATGTCCTCCTACTTCAAGGACCGCAACATCCCCCCTCCAGTGATTAAAAATGCTCTCAAACGTGTCTCTTGCGTTTCGCACACCTCTGCCTTCACACCCCCTCCCCCCAACAAAAATAAAGACAGGATCCCCTTGTCCTCACATATCACCCCACGAACCTTCGCATCCAACGTACCATTCTCCGCCACTTCCACCACCTACAATCCAACCCCACAACCAAAGATATATTTCCCTCCCCACCCCTATCTGCTTTAGGGACCGCTCTCTCCGTGACTCCCATGTCCGCTCCACACTCCCCACTAGCCCCACCACCCCCTGCACCTTTTCCTACTACCACAGGAAGTGCTCCACGTGCTCCTACACCTCCCCCCTCACCTCCATCCAAGGCAAGAAACAAACTTTCCACATCAGACAGGGGCTCACCTGCACATCCGTCAATGTGGTCTACTGCATTCGCTGCTCCCGATGTGGCCTCCTCTACATTGGTGAGACCAAGCGAAGGCTCAGAGACCATTTTGTAGAGCATCTGCGCTCTGTACCACCACCTTCTGGTCGCGAAACATTTTACCTCCCCCTCCCACTCCCTGGGTGACATGTCCATCCTGAGCCTCCTCCAGTGTCACAATGATGCCATCAGGAAGCTGGAGGAGCAGCACCTCATATTCTGCCTTGGGAGCCGACAATCCACTGGTATCAATGTGGACTTTACCAGTTTCAAATTCTCCCTAACCCCCGGTCTCATCCCATGACCAACCCTCCCCCCTCATCCCTGCCTCCTTGACCTGACAACCTATCCATCTTCTCTCCCACATATCTGCCCCTCCCACCTCATTAACCAATTCTCACCACTCCCTACTTGCACTCACCTATCTACCCATCTACCTTCCCCAGCCCCATCCCTCCTCTCTCTCTATTTATTTCAGAGACCCCTACCCCTCCCCCATTTCTGAAGACGTGTCCCGACCCGAAACATCAACTTTCCTGCTCCTCTGATGCCTCCTGGCCTGCTGTCTTCCTCCAGCTCCACACGGTGTTATCTCTGACTCCAGCATCTGCAGTTCTTGCTATCTCCTAATAATCTTGTAAGTTTCAATAACGTCGCCTCTCATTTTTCTAAATTCCAGTGAGTACAGACCCATCCTACTCAACCACTCTTTGCAAGATATTCCCTCCAACATTCCCTGGCCTGCCTCCAATGCCAGTATACCTGTCCTTAGATAAGGGCACAAAAACTGTTCACAGAATTCCAGCTGTGGTCTGACTCATGCTTTATATAGTTTTAGCAAAACCTCCCTACTTTTAGTCTCCATTCCTTTTGAAATAAAGGCTGCCATTCCATTTGCCATCCTGGTTACCCACTGAACCTGGATGCTCACTTTTTGTCATTCATGTTCCAGGAGTCCCAAATCCCACATTCCTGTAGTTTTCAGGACTCTTTCTCTATTTAAATAATATTCAGATCTTCTACTCTTCCTGCCAAAGTGCATAGCCTCACATTTTCCTACATTATATCCCATCTGCCAAGTTTTTGTATGCTTGCTTGTCGATATCCTTTTTTGTCATCCCAACCACCTGTCTTCCCAACTTTTGTTGTGTTATCTGCAAACTTAGTTACAGTACATTCACTTTCCTCATCCAAGTTGATCAGCATTTGTTTTAATATACTCATGGGGTGTGGGCATCACTGACTGGGCCAGCATTTATTGTCTGACCCTAGTTGCCCCTTAAGAAGGTAGTGGTGAGCTGCCTTCTTGAACCGCTGCGGTCCATGTGGTGTTGGTAGACCCACAATGACATTAGGAGAGAATGTTGACCCAGTGACACTCATAAATAATTGTAGACCAACACTGATCCCTATGCCCTTCACTAGTTACAGATTACCATCCCCAGAGAGAAGAAATTCCTCCTCATGTCTATTTATTCTGAGATTATGTCCTCTGATATGACCTAACCACCTCCATCCAGAAGGTAAAAGGCAGCAGATACATGGGAACCTGCAAGTTCCCCTCCAAGTCACTCACCATTCTCACTTGGAAATATATAGTCATTCCTTCACCATCGCTGGGTCGAAATCTTGGAATTCCCTCCCTAACAGCTTTTGGGTCAAGACATAGCAGGTGGACTGCAGCAATTCAAGAAAGCAGGACAAAATACGCCTCTTAAAGACACAGTTCACCACTGTGATGATGCTGTGATTTTAAGAGGTGTATTTTGTTCTGGTTTCTTTTAAGAGAGAGGTTGAACAAGAGGTGCCAAGCAGCCTGAGGTAATGTAAGAGTTTGTGGCTGATTTTTCAGGTTTTCTTTTAAAGGTGGAACAATAGAAGCAGCCTGGATGGGTGTGGCCAGCTCTGACAGATCAGGATTTGTAGTTTTTTTTTAGAATCCACAGAAGCTGCAGCAGTTTTTTAGAAGTTGAGGCTATTTTTCCCTTTTCTTGGTTATTTTTTCCCTTTCTTCGTTACAGCCAGAAGCTGGGGTTTCTCTTCCTGTTGCAGATGTTGCATGTGAGAAAATCTGATTTCTGAATTTGTCTTTTTGCAAAGGAGATGCTTATGGATGTTACTATATTGGAACAGTTAATTATATATTTTATATAATTATATATAATTAAATATATTATATATAATATGTTATATACGTGTTATAATATATATTAGATATATATATTTATCTTTCTTACTATATCTAATATTCTGTTAGAATAACAACTTTATTGGAAGAAAGTCAGTTCTTCTTTCTTTTGTTGTATTTTAACTATATCGTGTGAATAAATTGTGTTTTCCTTAACATCAAGTAGTTTGATCAGTCAAATTGCATCTGGAATACTGTGTATTACATTTGCCTTTCAAATAAGAAAAAGTTATGATCTAGGCTACCTTCTTAATATAATTTAAAGGGTTCTGATCTGGTCCATAACACTACCACATTCTCAAGGGGCAACTAGGGATGAGCAATAAGTGCTGACCAGCCAGCTATGCCCTCATCCCACAAATGAATAAAAAAAATCCTCGAGTCTCTCACAAGGGAAGACAAGCTTTCTGCACCTACCCTGCCGAGTGCCCTAAGAATAAGAGGCATAGATAGGGTGGATAGGAAGGTAATATGTCCTTTGGTAGAAAGGACAATAACCATGGGGGAACAGATGAAAGTAAGAGAGTGAAGGCTAAACGGAGAACTGTGGAGAAATGCTTCACTCTGAGTGTGGAATGAGTCTAGAACTCGATGCTTGAAAGGGTTATTGAGTCCGAAGCTCTTGAAACATTTAACCATTGTTCTGTTGAAACACACTTAGTGTCTGTGAAACTTTTTATCTGCACGTACTGTGCATTGACATGGGCAGGTTCCAGTATTCACAAGTGTGCCACACTGCAAGGCTGACTGGACATGAATCAGAAATGTTTGTAGGGATACGGGCCAAACGCAGTTAGGTGGGAATAGTTTAGTTTGGGATTATGGTCAGCATGGACTGGTTGGACCGAAGGGCCTGTTTCTGTACTGAATGACTCCATGACTCTCTACGGCTATATGACATTCTTGACTTGGTTATCAGCATAATTCTTAGCGAGCTCATGATTATTTAGCAAATGCTGCCTGGTTGTGGAATTGCATTGCATGTTTGACTT